AACATATGGCTCAGAACGGATTAACCGTATTTACATTGAACCTTATGGGAAAATTTGATTCAGTTCGCGACCAATTTGGTTCGCAACCAGAGTCGTGGAACAAATTAAGTTCGTGAACCGAGGTACCACTGTATTTGTTTATGGGGGTTGTGTTTTTGAATTGTGTTGTATTCTATTTTCTTTGTTATATTGTGAGCAGTCCAAAGTTGTTTGGAGTCAGGAAGTGTCTAAATCAAATAAATCAAATGAAATATTCCTGATTTACTTCTGCAAGAGTTCTAAGAGAAAAAATAATCTTCATCCCATCTCTAATCAACTTTAGAGAGGCAAGAGAGAGAAGAGAGAGATTTCAAGGAGAAGAGATCTATATAGCATTAATTTAAGGAACATATTAAAATCAAGACGGACTTAGTATATTCGTTCCTGGCTGGTCTCTAACTTCCTGCTTCTAGTAACTTTTTAAAAAGTATTAATTCTGCTTTATCCAAAATACTGACAGTTGTTTTGTACTGGGTTACAAACTAGAGCTAGTTTCAGGGACCAAGGTAACAGAGATTTGGCATATCAGTGCTAAATCACTCATCTGGAACTCAGACATTTCTATCAGAAGAACGAACACTGTAGTCTTCAGCAGAGCACACAGAAAATAATTTGTGGACATTGCTAGTTAATTTTTTCCCCCATGCTTAGTATAGAACCAAGACCACATTTTTGAAATGGAGCCTACAGATTTGTTTCTGATAATCTTCAGGGTTTTTTTTTTTTCCCCAACATAAAGGTCATATGGAGAGATTAGTATCGGAATCACCAAGAGTTCAGTAAAATAGCAAACCTTCAGCCAAATCCAATTTCAGAGTTAGTTTGACACTATCTCCTTAGTCACATTCAGTATATCTCAATCCACAAGTACGTTTAAAAAGCATCAACTACTTTAATAAAGAAAGAAGCACAACTGCTCACAGATTAAGTCCCTCCCCCCATGTCACTAACAGACAGACAGGAAGAGGAGGAATCTTTCCCTGGGGCCTTGTTTCTAAAATTAAAGGTGACACACCTCATAATTTGCAGTGCAATTACATCTCTTGACTTGGCAGCTCTTACCCTAATTATAAATGCAATAGATTACAGATAGCTTTACACAGACAAGCTATTACTTTCTAATTTTCTTGTCACAGAAGTTCTGTCTTATCAATGACAGATTAAGCTATTGCTCCGTTTAAACCATATATGGAGACTGGAAGCAAGACTGCTCTCCACCAGCTAAATCAACTTTTCTCATCCTGGGGCTCTCCAAAGGTATGCGATGGATCAGTGTTTCTTAACCTCAGCAGCTTTAAAATATGAGGACTTCAACTCCCAGAACTCCCCAGCCAGCATGAGGGGTTCTGGGAGTTGAAGTCCACACATCTTAAAGTTACTGAGTTTGAGAAACACTGTTATAGATTACGGGAGCTATAGCACAACAATCTGGACAATATCAGGCGGGGGGAGATTGGACTAGAACTACCAAGCTGCTCTTTCCGACCCTCGGTCCGAGCCTTGGGCAACATCCTGGGGCAAGGGAAATATGTACTTCCTCCTCAACCTCGGAACTGGCGACGAACCTCGGGCGGTACGCGCTTCCGCAGGACATCAAGCTGAGGAAGGCTTTACGAAGTCTGGCCTTAGTTTACCCATAGTAGGATGGGAGCGCAGGTCCTAAACAGCGAGAACGAGCGCCACGCAGCCTCCTCCCTCGACTACACCACCCTTCGGCGCTCAAGACACCACGCTTCCCAGGGAAGCCCCCACCGCGTTTCCTAGCGCAGCCCCTCCCCAACTCACAGCTCCATGTCCAGGCTGCACATGCGCACCAAGGCTCCTTCACCCTGTCAGCATCTCGCCTCTAGCCGAGTAGCCGCTCCACCGCCACCTGCCCCGGTGGCAGCGCCGCCCGCGAGCTGCTCGTACCACTTCCGCGTGCGTCACCCGGCGTCCCAGCCCAGCCTCTCGGCGAAGGTGAGCAACAGAAGGGGTGGGAACAGCGCCGCCCACCAGCTCCTTGGAGGAAGGGACGGGGTGCAGCTGCGCGCTGCCCGGAAAGGTTTCAGTCGCGGCTGGGACGAGTGCTGAAAGAATTGCTGAACCTCCAAATAGGCGCAGGAGTTGTCGTTTCCGAGGCTCTTCTTGGTTGTTTGTCTTTGAAAAGATAGTCTCCCTCAAACTGATGCAAAATTCTGGCGGCTAAGGTTCTTTGAAAACCACAGACTTCACACAATACACTAAGCCAAAAACAAATAATCCACAGTATCGTTGGGTTCAAACATAATTGATTGGATGATTTCATTGATTATATGCTATCAAGTCAGTGTCAGCTCTTAGCAACCACCTAGATAAATTTTGTCCACGACACACTGTCCCCAGCCTGGTCCTTCAGCTCTTCCAATGGTGCACCCATTGCTGAGTCCATCCAGCTTGCTGCAGGTCATCCTTTTTTCCCCTTCCATCTTTCTCATCATTACAGACTTCTCAAGAGAGCTGAGTCTTTGGATGAAATGCCCAAACCATGATAACTTGAGCCTGATCATTTGTGCCTTGAGTTAGAACTCTGGATTGATTTATCCTATGACCCATTTGTCTATTTTCTTGGCTATTCGTGGTATTCTCAGGGGTCCTCAACACCAAAATTCGAAAGCATCAATACTCTTTCAATTCCTGCTTCTTCAAACTCCAACTTTTACTTCCACAGAGTGTCACAGGGAAAACCATTCCTTGCATGATTCCAATCTTCATAAGTATAGACTCATCCCAGCATTTTATTTATTTATTTATATATCAAATTTGTCACCACCCATCTTGTTTAAAAAAGAAAGACGACTCTGGGCGGGTTACAGGGAAGCTAAAATCAGTTAAAAATACAATATAAAATAGACCTGAATAAATAAGAAATAAATATAGTCCAAAAGTTGATGTTACTTGGCAAGTAGCTTAGGGAGCAGCATCAGGGCACCAGCCACCCCCAGGATTGATTAAGGTTCTTGTTGCCCCATGCAAGCTGGCAGAGCCAGGTCTTTAGACCTTTCCGGAAAGCTGGGAGGGTAGGGGTCTGCCACACCTCTGGGTGGAGAATATTCCAATGGGCAGAGGCAACGACAGAGAAAGTTCTCCTCCTGGGCCCCATCAGCCGACACTCTCTTGCTGACGGGGTCCACAACATGCCCTCTCTGCTTGACTGGGTAGGATGGGTTGATGTGATGGGGATGAGACGGTCCTTCAGGTAACCTGGACCCATGCCATATAGGGCTTTAAAGGTCATAACCAACACCTTGAATTGGACCTGGAAGCAAACTGGGACCCAATGCAGCTCGTGCAGTAAAGGTGTTATATGTGCCCTTCTTGGGGCACCCAAGATTGTCCGCGTGGCCGCATTTTGAACTAGCTGTAGCTTCTGGCTATTCTTCAAGGGTAGCCCCATGTAGAGTGCATTGCAATAGTCTACCAAGATGACCAGGGCATGAGTGACTGACTGGAGAGCCTCCTGATCTAGGAAAGGGCATAACTGGCACACCACACGAAGTTGGGTAAAGGTTGGGCAAAGGCCCTCCTGGCCACGACTGCTACCTGCTCCTTGAGTAGGAGTCATGAGTCCAGGAGGACCTGCAGATTACACACCGGGTCTGTCCAGGGCAATGCAACCCCTTCCAAAACCAAAGATGGTAAATCCTCAGATACAGAGGGGGCTCCAATCCACAGCCACTCTGTTTTACCAGGGTTCAGCTGAAGCTTGTTGCGGCCCATCCAGACCCCCACAGCCTCCATGCTCCGCGAAAGGATGGTCACGGCATCACTCAAGTCAAGCATCCACTGATGTTTTCTTTAAGGTGCTGTTGTTTGGTTGCTTCTGTGTTTTGTTTTGTTTTTGTTTCTTTTTGCTAGTCTTTGACTGAAAATAAAGATCCTGATCCTGGCATCTGAATATGTTTTCCCAGGCCTTCATGGCTACTCTACCCAAGTGCTAGTCTGCAGCATATTTCTTGACTGCTGGTTCCTTTGCTCTTAATACCCAATCCTAAAAAGCAGAAGTCAAGGACCACTTCAGCATCTTCACTGTCAATTCTAAGGCTGGTTTCTGTAGCTGTTGTCATTAGTCTGGCCTTCTTTAATCTTATTCAGTTTTTTTCACTGTTCTCCTTGATTTTTATCCCTAGAGCTAGCAGATTATTTGCATTTTCAGCTATCACAGCAGTATCATCACCATAGTGCAGGTTACTGAAGTTTCCTCCTCTAAGTTTAAAACTCTGCTTCTTCCAATCTTGATTAGGTGCCATCGAGTCATTGTTGACTCCTAGCGACCACATAGATTTTTTTCATATCTTTCAGGTCTTCTACTGTGTGTTCATTGCCTTGCTACTGGTTGTCCTCTTCTTCTCTTTCCTTCTATCCTTCCAGCATTAGAGCCTTCTCTAGAGAGCTAGGTCTCAATATATATTCAGCACATAATGTTGAATAAATAAGGGGAGTGCATACAGCCTTGTCTCATTCCTTTTGCCAACCTGGAGTCAGTCTCTATTGCCATGTTCTGTATATACTGGGGTTTCTGTCCTGTCTGTAGGTTTTGAAATTAAATGTTTTGGGATTCCATTTTCCTAAGGACTTTCCACAACTTGACATGGTCAACACAATCAAAGGCCTTTCTATAATCAAGACATTTCATATTGATTTCTTTTTGGTATTCTTTATCCAACATGCATGAACTATAATATCTTTTTTCTCAGCCTTTTCAAAAAGCAGCTTGAACCTCTGGCATTTTCCTTTCTTTGTAGGGCGCTAATCTGTATTGGATAATTCTAAGCACTATTTTTCTGGCATGTGAAATTAAGGATATTATGTTATCGTTTGTACACTCTGTTAAGTCTCCTTTCTTTGGTTTTGATATACAGACTATCCTCTTACAAACTCATCACTGTTGCTTTATACGGATATGGCTTAGAATGCTGCATGTACTAGCTGCTGTGTTTTGTAAGCTATGATTTCTGTTTATCTCAGTGTGAGAAACCTATCAGTGGAGGTTGTTTAATAAACCACATTTAAGCCAAAGTTGTGCAAACTTGTCTCATGTCTCTAGTGTGTGAAAACTTGAACTCCTACTGATTTAATGTTCCTGTCGTATACTTTCCTTAGCAGCAATACAGAAGCAGTTTTCCTCTTCCTCTTCCTCCTCCTGCTCCTGCTGCTCCTGCTCCTGCTGCTCCTGCTCCTGCTCCTGCTCCTCCTCCAGCCCAGGCAATTGCTCAAAGGCACCCAAAACAATTATTCAGAAGACTGAAGTAAGGAGAGATTAGTGAAAATAGAGTGGTCTATTACAGCAAAGCCATCATTGAATACAATTTATGGAATACAAATTACTTTGTGTGTGCTTATTTATTTATTTATACATCACATTTATATAGCCACCCACGTCACACAAAGTGACTCTGGGAGGCGTACAACAATTAAATAAAATAACGACAGCCTTTTAATCTGACTATTACTATTACTCAATAGAGTGGATAGCTAACAGCTCCACTAGGTAGATCAGACCAGGGAATCAACTCCACAGGAAGGCTAAAACTACTTTTATTGAGATTGGCTATGATAACAGAAACTTGCAAGCCTAACTGTGTTGTACCTCTTCCCCTTCTTATAGTTCAGTGAATGAGGGAGGCCTCTGTCTGAACTGCTTCTGAATATTATCTCATTTCTCAGGTCTTAAACCATGTTTCAGCCCTTTTTGCCTAGGTAACAGTGCTTGCATATTTCCCTCAAGGTCATCTTCCTTACTCTCTACAACAGTGTTGTCCAAACTTGGCCACTTTAACTTGGCTGGCTGGGGAATTCTGGGAGTTGAAGTCCACTCATCTTAAAGTGGCCAAGTTTGGACAACACTGCTCTACAATAACTGCCTAAACTAAATAATTCTGAGTCAAGTGAAAGAACAACAAATGGATTCTTTAGGCTGGATTGGATGTCTGACTGTACTTCTAGTGCCAAAAGGTAACTGGCATACTGTGTGCATTTGGCTGAGGGGAGGCCAAGATGCCTTTTCCTTTTTTCATCTCAAGCAGCAAAATGCCTTGGGTTCATCTACATCCTCCTAAAAACATTACTGTACTTTGGCCAGCATTACTACTCACGTGTGCTGGTAGCCATATACAGCAGCCTATACAGATGTTCACAGTATTAACAGTCTCTGTATCAAAACTGAGCATTATTTTTTTCTTTCTTAAAAATGTTACAGTGTTATCCTTTTCAGAAAAAAAGATCAGGATTTCACCGACTGGAGAAATCAGGACAAAGAGATTAATCCATGGCACAGTTAAATCTATGAAGCAATGAAATTTTATTACAGTATAAGGTAATGTGAGGTATTCTAAGGTAAATTTTATCATAAGATATTATGATTAGGCATAAATAACTATTGATTCACTTTTTGTTCACACCAAGGTTATTGCTAATGCAGTTGGTTATTAGAGATTTTGGCCAGGGGGAGTGGAACTTGGTCCCCAAATCAAATATTCCTCTCCTGGATGCCAGTGAGGGAGCAAAGGGGAAGAGAGATCTCCATCATGACCTACTGAAAGCTTCCAGGATAAGGCTGGCTTCTGCAAGAGATACATCCCTAACTAAGGCTGCAATCCAATATGCGCTAAATGAAACTTGTGTACTGGGATACACTGCATGGTAGGTGGAATGAGAAATTCTGATTTTCCTGTATCATTTTCTATCACATAATTAATATGACAAACAATCCTACCTACACTTACTGGGAAGTTAAACCCCAGCCTCTAGGATACTGTGAGACTTCACTTCAGAATAGGCAAGCACAGACAGAGCCCTAATTTGGGGTTATGGTCCAAAAGTGTAGACAAAGAACACCATTTTCAATCACCATCAAGATCCAAGAAATCTAGGGAAGCCTTTCTCTTTTTAAGGAATCTTTTAAATCTTCAGTCAAACCCACATCCCCAAGAAAAACAGATTAACTCAGCTGGGAGAAATCAGAGCTCTTTCCCGACAGCCATTTTGAAACCGAAAGGATCATTTTCATGATACTATAAGCCAAAGCTGCTTTTCCAGGGTTTATGTGAGGTGACCCTGTCGCAGGCGTCTTTTCCCACTCCCCCTGCCCTGACTGAGGAGGGGAGGCAGCCCCGAATGAGAAAGGCTCCCTCCGCAAATCGTCTCGCCTAAATCGCCCACTGATGCTGAGGAGGCTTGCCAATGTCGCGCTGGTCAGTGAATGGAAGAACCTTTTCCACCAGGCCCGACTGTGCACCCACCGCTAATGCACACAAGCCGCTCAGGGAACAGGAAGGAGCTCCTGCCCTCAGCCCGCCTTTACCAACCTGGAGTCCTCCAGATGTGTCGGGATGGCTGGGATGAGGGGAGGGAGTGGCCCACCCTTCCAGCGGTCCCAGGTTGGGGGAAGCTTCATTCGCCTCCGTCCCACTAGTCGACGGGATGATTCGGGATGCAGCCTGTGCAGCACCGCTCCCTCACCCCTTCCTCTTACCTGTAGTAACGATCATCCTTGTAAGGGGTGAGATCCTCTTTGATCTCCTTATAGGTCTCTTTGATCCTTTGGCAAATGTGCTTGAGCTCGCCGCAGAGCGGGTTTTCAAAAGCGGGATAATCGGCCTCCATTCCGACCCCGATATTAGAAGGCTCTCCTGCTCCAGCCGCTTTACGTCCGTCCCTTCCTTCGCTCAGCCATGGAGCACCGCCAGTCCCGGGGCGCCCGAAGCTCTCCGGGCTGCCGACAGGGCCGTCGAAGGCCACAGAGACTACCCGGGAGCCCAGCGCTGGAATAAACCCACTTCCCTCTGTGCGTCTCTCTCTGCCTCGGTCGCTCCTTCTCGCTGAGCAGAGCGCCGCTGCTGGCACGGAAAGGAGTTTCGTGGGAAGCCGCCGCTCGGTCTGGGAGCGTCCTTTGGAAGCTCGAATTTTGCGCGGCAGACTATCTGGGGGAGAGGGACTTTTGAAAGGCAGACAAGGTAAAACCAGGCTGACAAAGGCCGCAATAACTTAGCCGAGAAAATTGTGCAAACCTTTCCCCCATTCCTTCAAGCTTAAAAGCCTTAGGATGCCCGGACCTAGCGGAATTTTGCGGGGTGGGGGTGGGGGATCAGCACCAAGGATAGCGCCACAACGTCCTGTCCCAACGCGGACGCAAGGGACCTTCCTAGACATTAGAGTCAGGTAGAGGATGCCCTCGTTTGGCCCCGGATCCCTTGAAACACAGCCACACGGACTAATAACCCGTCACAGCCTTTTCAGTCAATTGTTGATCCTTTGTGTTAGTTCTTCAGTTCTTGCTTGGTGTACCAAAAGAAGTGCAGTTTCTGTTATTACTGGAAAAGTGCCTTCTAGCAGCATTACAGAAGGACTTAGCTGAAAAGACCGCAGCTCAGTTGCTGACCAGGACTGACAAGTGAATTAGCTATGTGACATTAAGTTGGGTTCAGCTCTTGGTGACTACCTGAGCTAAGGTTCTCCACCTCCACCTGTCTCCAGCAATAATCTATAGCCCTTCCAAGGACAGTGCTGTAATCTCCTTGATAGTAATCACCCATCTCCTCATCCATTGTCTTCCATACTTCTACTTCATTTAACTTGCCAAACACAATTGGTCTTTTTTAGATCCTCTCATATCTCACATCCAAAGTATGCAAGCTTTTGTTGGCTTATCTTTGCTTCAAGGAAGTGTGTGTGCATGCGTGCACCTTCAAGTCAATCTTGACTCCTGGCAACTGCCTGGACAAGTCCCTGCAGTTTTTTTTGCAAGATTTCAGAAATGGTTTGCCATTGCCTGCTTCCTAGGGCTGAGAGAGAGTGACTGGCCCAAGGTCACCCAGCTGACTTCATGCCCAAGGCAGGACTAGAACTCACAGTCTCCTGGTTTCTAGCCTGATGCCTTAAACACTACACCAAACTGGCACTCTTTCAAGGAAGTACTCAATCTTAAATTTGCCCAAGACTGATTTACAAGGTTGTTTTTTTTTTTGGCAGTCTACATTACTCCTAGAAACCATCTTCAAATCCATAATCTGAAGGTGTCTGTCTGCTCTTTCTCATGTCCTGCTTTCAGAGCCATACATTATTACTGGAAAGATTATTGCTTTGGCTGTCTGTTCCTTGTTGTTAGAGAAATATTCTTATTTTCAGGATCCTAAGTCTGTTGTTTCCTTCTCTTATGGTTTAACTTCCTTTTGTTTTTTCAACACACACTTCCCATCTCTATCTATTCTCAAGCCTAAGGAAACAATACATTTCTACCATTAGTCTTGGTAGTCTCAGCATTCTGGCATGTTTAACACCAATATCTTCATTTAGTCAATGAAGCAATAGTAAGCCTTCAGTTTAAATTCTCTTGCTTTTCTGTTATCCACCTTAAATTAGGTGATCTTGTGTTCCTCTCCCTTTAAAAAAAAAAAAAACCTGCCAGGTCATTTGGCATTTCTCTACCCATGTATAGCTCTATTCTTTTTCGTAAGATCTGAAGCTAAACTTTATTTGCATAAGGAATTCATATCATGGTTCAATCATTTTCACATTCTTTTGCATTACTTATACTAATCTTTTACAATCTGTAGACCATGCAGTATGTATGTATGTATGTATGTATGTATGTATGTATGTATGTATGCATTTTACATGAAGCTGTTTGCACTTTAGCTGCCTCCTCTGCTGCAGCTCTAAATAGTTTGGAGGGTGTTTTATCTATACTGTACATGGTGCCTTCCTATTTGACAACTGATCTGTTGTCTGTTGAACCTCACTGTCTATTGGAAACAGTTGCTGAATATATTCTCTCTATAAATGGTTCTGTTGCTCTAGAACCTCATTTGTAAAGGGTTTCAGCATAATTTTTCAGTACTGTTATCTCTTAACTTCATTTGCTTTTATTAGATCTCTTCTGGTTGCTCTTTATTATCCTTACCTTGATTATAAATTTTCCTGTAATTTCTTTATTTTCTTAAAATCATTTTTGGTTCTTATTTCTTGATGTATTACTTGTTGACATTTTTCAATGTCTTTTCTCGCCCTCTGTTGTTTGACATGGGAACTGAGTGTTCAATAATTATAACTCCTTCTTGTGGGATCTTTCCATAGCTTCCTTTTGCATACATTCAATGTGTACTGAATGTGCTGCGTGGATCTTATATTTTGATTGTGTGCATTGTTTGTGTGCAGGTCAAGTCTTGAATTTCATCCATATATTTAATAGCTATAATTCACAGTCAGTTCCACAACCTGCATCTGGCAGTGTTATATATGACTGGACTGTACTTCTCCGTCTTCCATTTCCTATTACACAGTTGATTTGATTCCACTGTTGTGAATCTGATATTTTGGTATAGGGTTTGCTTATTTAAGAATGCTGCCCAAATAACAGCGGATTTTCATGCATATTGTCAACCTCCCTAATTTCTAATGCAGGATGTCCAAACATTCTTATTATATGTGTTCCTAATTGTATTGGGTATATTTCTATTAACCTTTGCACTGTAGCTTGCTTTTATAAAACTTTTTATCATACATTAGTACATTAATTAAAGTCACCATTTGTACTTTATTTACCTTATCTTTTTTATAATATTGTATAGTCTTTACTTTTGTATTGTTTTATTTTTTTTTTCCATCGATGTTTTAACTTCTATCTTTTCTATAAAAGCTGCTAAGAGGCTTTGTTTGATTGCAGTGGCATAGAAATATGTTTAAATAAATAAATAAATAGATATTGGATTTTTTCCCCTCAAAAACTAAGCACAAGAAACCTGTAACAAATGATGTTTTTCTTACGATTATTTCTAAGAGTTTTACTTCTGATGAGCCTTGAAAGAAAATGTTTATTATTGCTTACCAAGTTCTTTGAAATAATAGGAAGAATTGTAGCATTCTTAGATATGCTTGAATTATACTGTTGCTTGCCTCATTTGAAGAATGCCACATTGCAAGTATATGTGTTTTGAAGAAATTACAACATCTGAACATGTTGAAACTTAGAAACAAGGAATCTCTTTGTCCAACTGCATCACAAACACTTTCACTTCATATTTATTATTTGGGTTTCCATGGTATTCTTAGATTTAATTTAAGATTGGATTCTCCTCTGTGTCTTAATATTTGGTGAGAAAATCAAATAAACTTTGCATTTATGTTAAGAATTTTTATATCACAACAGCAACATACAGCAGGGTGGTCCACTTCACCTGCTGTTAAGTTTTCTAGGAGTAGGTGTCAAGTTTCAGTTGTAGTTCTTTGACATTAAATCTGATTCTAAAAGAAGTAATCTAGACCAACTAACTTTGGCTTTGGAATTAAGAATATGCAGGGTTACAACTCTCTGTAAGAGGAGAAAATTTGCTGTTCTCCAAAATTTGATTATGGCAAATTATTATTTTAAGATTTATAAGCTGAAATTCTGCAGGAGTGTCATCAGGTTTGATCAGTGGGGATGTTAGAATGGACTACGGAAGTCCATGTAAGTCATTATGAGTAACTAGCCAGTATAAATATTCAAGCTTTTCAGTCTACGTTAAAGCATAGGAAGATGAAGGTAAGCTGCTCAAAAAGAGGCAAAACCACATCAGAGATTCTCTAGCTTGCAAAAAATTTAATAAGCAACACCTGGACAAGTCTTACAGTTTCAAATCATCAAGGAAAGTAGGGCAACCAACCCAATTTCAATCATGTAGACAGTCAAAAGTTTGGACAAACCACATTATTGAAGGGAAACCACTTAATACTTTCTAGGTACCTTCTCCATAATCTATTACACAGAGCACATAACAGGAGAGGCATATCAGGGCACAGTTCATAATTACAATGAAAATCAGGTCTGAATGGAAGATTTTAAAAAAAGAACCAACTATTTCCAAGGGCCATTTTAAAAAATTGTAGGTGCAGCAATCGTTAGAGAAATATATCCATTTCTCTGCAGAATTGAGAATATCATGCAGGTTATGCATGTTTAGGAAACCTACATTATCTAGCCACATACTTTTGTAAAAACATGGAGAAAACTGAAGCCCAAGATGAAGCAAAACAAAAAAATAAAACTCCTGCTCCTCAAACAATAGTACAAAAATGAATAAAGAAGCAAATCAAAAACATTTATCAAAATTAGAGTACCCAAATTTTGCATTTATTAACAAATGCATTTTTTAACAAAGACCACAGTGCCTCAACCAAACTATATCCCCATGCAATTCTACGATACAAAAATTGTATCAACAGCAAACAGCAAGTTTTAAAAAATTTTCCCCACAAAGAAGAGGGGAAGAACAAACTTGGGGGGTGGGGGGAGTCAATTAAGGTGGAGAGAGAGAGAATAATAATTTGAAGATCCTCCTAACTCTTCAACATACTTCAATTAGGGGTCAATGTTGCATATAATACATTGGTTTAGAAAATCCAGACTGTATCTACATATAGACCTGAATCAGATTATATTCCCTCTGCAATAAAGGCCCACAACTGCAACATGGAATGTAGTCCTTAAAATTATGTGTTTTAATGGTTTAGTTCTTCCAATTGTGTTTTGAAACTTTTGACTTGAAAAATTCTTGTGAAACCACTGAATTTCCAAACAACACCTCTACTTATCTCTATAACAAGCAGGGACCATCAACTAAATGTTTTAACCGGCTGCTTCCTAGTTTGAGTGCTTTGCTGCGGTAGACGTTACGCTACGAACAGGAAAGACAAGTCTAGTAGTACATTGGTCCCAAAGTGCTGTAAGGAATAGAAGAGGTAACCACCATTTCTTCTGTCTATCATATTCATTTCTACCATAGGAGTCCCCTAATACAAAAACT